CGTGATTTTAGTGTGCGTCTGGACTTACGCGTAAGAGATGAACTTTCAAGCTTATGCAAACGAAGATATGCTCTGACCCGTAAGCGCTACCAGTTTTGTCGCCAGGCATTGAACTGCTATTACGACCCCAACTGTGCAATTTTGAGCTGACAAGAATGCATGCGAATCTGACTGGCCGTACAAAAGTCGTTTAAATACCCTTTCAACTGATGCTAATGTTGATGCACGCGGGAAGGACTGATGACAGCCAGTCACCTGTGGTTAGCAAAGCTCAAAATTTCTCAACAGATGTCACACTGGGAACGAAGCCCAAAGAAGCCAGTGCGGTAGGCATTTGAAGAACCGTCAGACTCAGTCTCGTCATTACAGTACACTTGTAGCTGCGACTAGATTTCTCGATGTTGCAGGTCAGGATCTACTATTAACGAAAAGAAGCAGAGAACAGAGAGGTTAGTAAAACTCGCTCCTAGCTGCACATAGACGAGGCCGTCATTGACTGCTCCCCAATAAAGTTTCGTCTGTTGCACGAGAGCGATCGTCACACGGGGTGTACTGGCAAAGTCGCGTGGGTCGCTATAGTGCGCAGACGAACTGGCATGATTTTCAAGGAGACGAGGTCAGATTCTGGGCTCCAGATGTACACGTTTAATTAAATATTGCACATTTTCAGCCTTTGCGCACGGAGGTCAAAGAAGGTTCACATAGCAGTTCAATTGGCTAGAGCGTTGGATGTACTAAAACCTTCCCCTTGCTGGTCTGGGTTGAATCCCACCGAGACCGCCGACTCTTCACAATTGCACAAAGTTAATTATGCAAATCTGCCACACCCCTCTATTAATAAAGTGCGCCTCGTGCCTTGATTGCTTAGAAAATCCTGTTTGCGCAGTCAGCCTACTGTATCAGAATTGACGAATTCCATACAATGCAATAGGCTGAGCGGGTAACTTGATCCAAATGTGATTAAACTCACGGCTCCCAGTGGGGGCCTTATAACGCAGTTGGCTATAATAAAGTCTCAACCTTGCTGGCGTGGGTTTGAATCCCACTGACACCACCGAATTTTCCACAATTGGGTCAAATGAATTATTCCAAGACCCTATTCTAAGCCTCCACTTCTGAATGGATAGTTCAGGCCGCGTACTATTGGCCCGAACCATTGAACCAGGGTCGCGGATCGCGTTAGCTTTCGTACATTGTCATGTTAGCCACACGGACCGCTTCTGTTAGATTGTATCTTTCAGCGCTTCGGTTGGGAAACCAATTGAAAGGGCACCCGAGGCAATCAATCTTATTCGACAGTATGTTACTGTTAGGAGTCTTCCTAACGAGCTGCTCTGGCGAGCTCTCAGGTCACGTTATCGGTCCGTCCACATACAAAGGCCACGTGCGCTGTGCGCGCCTTGAAGGAGCCGAGGTCACACGAGGCGGCCAGTACAGGGATCAACCAGACGGCCAATCGAGTCGCTAGTCGTATGAGGATACAATCTGATTGGTCCCATTTTATAACCTTTCTTGCTTATAGTCCCGTTCAAGGAACACAATAAACGGCTTCCTTTCCCTGCGACGTTGTTCGTCGTTCTCCTTATTGGATTGAAGCAGTGTCTGGAACGGCACAAATCTAGCTTTGGTAGCCATTAAAACAGTTACAATGGTCACATCCGAAGTTGCGGCATTTATAAAATAATCGGAGTACCAAAAATGAGCAATCCGTGCTCCGAGAGCATTTTGTTTTGCTGAAGCGTCATTCCTTATTCATTAACCGCTAGAGCCCGCTAAGTTTATGTTGGGAATGCCTCTTTTCTAACGATTAATCATCTCACAGAAAAGCACGCGCATGCGCCGCCAAGCTGCCTGCCATGACAGCTTCCTGCCCTGACTGTGGCCACAAAGCTCTCGCCAGATATAATTGGTCTACGTTTGTTAGAAGGCTTCCGCCTCTTCCACAGCAAGCAAATGCTATAAATACACGCAGCTCTTTTGTGAGAACAATTTGCTCGTGGTCAACTGCCTTCTCTGACCCACTCGTGCTGACTTTTTGCACGACAATCGGGCAAGCCCACAGATGGCGTTAAGTAAAAGTACCAGGTGCGGATCATAACAGTTCGCTTTTAACCACCTCTTAAGGCTGTCCCATTACCCGCCATCCATGAACATGCTAGGTATCCTGTACTAAAAGCATCAAGTGATGACACACTTGGGCCAATCACGTCAACGTGTACTTGTGTGTAATACGCCTGAGATCATGCCTGGTCTACTTTTCCCCGAGGATATCACGCACTGCACACGTCCACGCGTGACGAGTTGTGGAGCGCATCTGACCAGCTCAGCCCATACTTTTAGTAAGCGACGGAGACCGGATACGAGACCTTCAAGAACTGCTTCCATATCTTGATGAATTGTGTCACCGGGCCTTGAGTTAACCTTCAGTTCAACGCCTTTAGGAGACCGCATGTGCAGGATCGGGGGTAGCGACATTGAGCTCGTGAAACATAGGAAAAATACGTGTCCAAACGACCAAGGTCGGCATTCTTGGATGGCCTGATATATCCGCGCTATAGTGTTGTGGGGAGTTCCTCATTTTAGACGAAGGCGGCGTACTTCACTAGAAGGATGGTCCTAAGGCAGCGGTGGTCAACACCTCTGGTTTTTGTTCATCTTCCACACGCAAAGCATAGGATGCATAACAGCACAGAAGATCTAACTGG